TTTATAAGATTCTTATTTAGGCGTAATACATAACTGGTCTACATAATAAAGCAGCACATGTCTATTTCCATGGCCAACCGCAAAAGCTAACAAAAATGGTTAGAAGAATTCTCTTGTGCGGGACGTCTTAAAAAGCAATATCACCTACGAATCACACAAGGAATTAGAGCATAACTCTCTAGCTCTAATTTATTTATCTAATTTTCCAAGCAGTTAGTATTGGAGCAGGCACTTCCTTGATATATTTCACATTTTAAGGATAACAAAGTTCATGGATCTACTATTAGGAAGAGCTGAAGGAGTAAAAACCAGCATAGCTTGAAGGAATGTAGTCAGTAAAACTGCAAACTGGGCCTGCGAAAAACTAAACAGAGACATTTTTTCAACATCTTCTCTAGCTGGGCTTGATTTTTTAGTACTGCAGGCAAACATGTTGCTAAATGCCTCTAATTCCTAACAAGTTATGTAATGGGGAGATTAGCTTGTTTGTACCAGCTTCATCTCGCTTGCATGGATTCTATTTATTAGAATTATTTGCCGTAAAAAATGCCTTGGTCATACATATCTAAGTACGACTATGCTTTTATGTACTCCCTCCGTTCCAAAATAGATCTAGGAACGGAGGGAGTAGTTGTGTGAGTGTGTAACAACATCTCAATATCAAAGTTTTTAGTATCAAGGATAAAAAACTTTGTGGATGTACTATTAGGAAGAGCAGTGATTACAGCCAGTGTAGTTTGGATAAATGTAGGCAGTAAAACTGGAAATTGGGCTTGAAAAAACTAAACAAAGGCATTTTTTCAACCACTTTTCTAAGTGGGCACGATGATCTTTGCCAAGTATGATAGGCAAACAAGTTGCTAATTGCCAAGTGCTAACCAATTTATCTACCACCATTGTTACCTGACGCGTTATGCAAGGGTGGTTAGCTTGTACCTGTCAGCTTCTGCTCCCTAACATGGATTCTAGTTAATGGATCACTATGCTTTTGAAGTGCTTATGCACCACATCTCAATATCTAAGCTTTAGCAATAAAACCAAATAACTACAGAAACAATAAAATTCTAACAGGGAATATAGATGAGCGCTGCAATGTCAAGTGTAGAACAACAGATTCACAAGCATGGTGCTTACCACACTTGCCCTGATGCTTGACCATGGTGACGGCGCCGCTATGCCTCCAGTCCAGCGCGTCGGGCACGGCGTCGGGACAGGAATGTACATACCGCGCATGATGTACTTTGGAAGCTCATCTTCCTTGCGCTGTGCATTTGAGAAAAAAAATATAATAATTGGTAAGAAGCAATTGCTGTGACGATTGATCGAAAGTGAAGCAAGATGGAAAAACAGAGAGCAGAGTAAAAGGGAAATAATAAGACAACGGCACTAAAAGTATCATGTGAGTATGTCGGCAGATCGTTTCGCGGACAATTAATCAGCACAAATGTGTGCGCATGTGTATGTTGAAACATAAATGGAAAATTAGCATATGTCGTTTCCACATGCAAATTAAATAAAAGAAATTGAATGATTTATTGAACCAAAAATGAGGTTCATGGCATTCTCATTGACAGTTGGATTTCTAATGAACCTATGTAATTGGCAAATGGAAAGGAAAGAAAAAAGAAAAGAGAATGATTAGCATATGGTAATTAGTTGAAAGTCTCTGAATAATAAAATGAGCTACGATCAGTTGTATACAATCTATCATGATACACACAAGAAGTCATAAGAAATGAGCTCTTAAATGTAAATAATCAGAATCACAACTAAAAGCAAGATAGTTACTCTAACACTTGGGTAGACTCATAAAAAAACTGCTGCTGGCACATGACACCTCATCTGAGAACCATTTCTTAGCCTGGATTAGCAACGTTTCCTAAATTAGCTTGTTCGTTAAAAAAACAAGCTTTTATCATTTGGGTGTGGAGGGATTCAGCTTGAACAGCCAACTCCTTGATGAACCTGTGAAAGCTACTGAAACGACTTTTTGTATTCTTACATTAGTAGCCAAATGTACTGATGTATAGGGATACTTTATTCTCTCTTTCTCCAAACCGAACCACTACACTTGTCAAGGTCATATTGCCATCAACTGTGAAGAACAGCATCAACACAACATCATCTAGTAATTAGAACCAAG